AAACCAAATTATGTCTCACAAGAAGACATGTGTATTAGTTCTATATTACTATATTACTAAACAGGGTTTAAAATGGTAGAATTATTATGCTATAGGCAAGCAGCGAATGAAAAGACATACAGGTCCTAAAGAGCCTGAGGAGCTTACTCAGTTGGCACTCAGCCACAAGTCAAAGAACACCTCAATAAACATGGTAACTAGAGTCACAGGACCAAATAAGTAGGGGTGTATGCAGTGCTTAGCTTGAATGGCCAACCAATGATAAAATGTTCTGACAAAGGTATGGAACTCAGTGTAACGGGCATTGATGGTGCCACTAGTCACACGCATCAAACACCTGCCTCCATCAACAATGAGCCTTGGGTATTAGGTGGTTCACTACAAATTCTTAGCAAATCTCTAGAAATAAATTCCAGTCGGTTGAGCACTTATTTTGTGGCTGGAACACAACGAACAGTGGGAATATAACTTAATCATAAAGTATATGTGATCCAAATACATGGAAGAAAGCCTCAATAGTCTCAAAAATCAGTATTCTTAAAAAAAGCTTTAAAGGAATCAATTTCATAACTTTTATTTGCTACCAAATCATGACAACTCACACAAAAACAAAATTCACTAAACTACCCTAGATAAAAGCATAAACCCAGGGCTGAAAGGATTTTAAAGTAGAACAACCCCGAAACTTCCCATAGCAGTTAAGCTAAACTCATAATATGCTGTGTTTAATAAATCTAAAGTGATGCTGACGTCAGGATGCATGATGTGAAATTCACAAAGAATCAGAAAAAAGTGAAAAACAGGAACTAAAGTGAATCCTGCTGCGTCCACTGTTAGCTTGCGGGTGGGAGAGTTCAGAACACTTGTGCTGCACATTTAAAGGTCATCTTACAACCCCGGAAGAGACACTAGAATAAGGAGCAGTGGAAAAGGACACTTGGACTGCATGACATGGTCCAGCATCATCTGTTCCGCAGCTCAGGCAGGAGGGGGCAGTGCCGAGCTAAAAAAAAAACCTCACAAGCAAGTTTTCAGAGCTATAGCTGAGTGTTCCCTTCCCCGGGCACTTCGGAATCAATCCTTACAGGTAATAGAGAAATAATACAAGGCTCTAGCAACTTTTAAAGCTGTAGAGTATGTTTATAAAGGTTTTCGATAGAAAAATTAAAGATACTTAACAGAGTTTAAGAAACATGCACTGCAGAGCGTCATCACCCAGCACCTGGGAAGACTTCCTGCGAGACCAGGGAAACTAACACAGCCATGCAAGGGAACCTTTCAAAGAGATCAAAGGACCAAAGTAGCTTACCATTCATCAGGCGAGCACCCATAATCCTCAGGTTCGGGGACATGGCTTCAAGAGGAAGGACAGAAAGAGGGAAAAACAATCACAGAAAGGCTGGAAACATAAAACCATGAATGAGGGAAGTGCTAAGAGGCGGGTTTCTAGAAAGTTAAGAAAAATGAGCTTTTAGTTGGATCTGAAAGAATGGCGGTTAGTACAATGTACAGAACGTGAGGATTTATGGTAACCAGGTGGAGTTACAAAAGTACTCCATAGCCAAGAACTGATTGATGCTCAGAAGCCAGAATTTAGTAATAAACATGTTTAAATTTAGCTGTTTAAACATATGCTATAAAGCCCGTAGGACGTCAATCATCTATATTTATATCCATTACAAAGTATTTTAACAATGCAAACTTGCTAGTCACCTAGGGCACAGAAAAAAAAATCTGCCAAATATTTTTCAGGAAGCTTTTACTGCCTTGAGACAATAACTAACTTCCTAAGAGGGGACGGGAAAGTACAAGTTAATTGTTACTTTGTTTGATGAAATGGAACCACTGATATTCAAAATAGTCCACTCATCAAACAATTTTTAATCTTGAATAATGTTTTCAATGATACTTAATTTTACCCCATGAGTCCATGAAGCATGAGAAAAGATCCCCGGATACAGTCCATTCCAATCTCTACACGACACCCAAAATACCCATCAGAGTAGATTTTCTTATTCTGCAATTCTTTCATTACACATGTTAAATCAGCATCTCCCCTTTAAATTAGATTTTCTATACACAGGTAGAGTTCAAATGCACTGCTGGTCCTTGATAAGCACAATAGCTGCTGGAAACTTAAAGACTCCATTAACTCCCTAAATGCCTACTGACTTTTAACCTACCTAGCCAGGGCAGTGTCTTGTACTTCCAAAACATTAAGTTTCCGTCCAGGAACAACATCCCCTCCACTACAGCAGTCACGATGAAAGGAATCCTTTAGCCCACTATTCTTTCCTGTCAAAGGCTTGTGTTTATTGTTTTTGAGGAAACACTCACCCTGACCATTTTGAGCTGGATTTCCAGGAAAGGTGCTGGCCTGTGGCAATGCACCATGGAAATGGGCTATAGAACCAAGGACAATCACTTGTGATTAACCTCAAAGTTTGGGCTCCAGCCCTGGCACTATACAGGGGAGCGCTGGTAACTGTCCAAGAGGAAGGTCCTGACAGCTTGCATTGGTACTGTGTTCCATTCATAGGGAAGGTCCGGTCAGCTTGCATTGATATTGTGTCCCATTCATGGAGAAGGTCCTGTCAGCTTGCATTGGTATTGTGTCCCAATCATAGGTAAGGTCCTGACAGCTTGCACTGGTACTGTGTTCCATTCATAGAGAAGGTCCTGACAGGCTGCATTGGTACTGTACCCCTGCTCAAGGCTTCACACCAGCGCTGGAGCTAGTGCTTCTTAAGTCATGAGGCTTACCAGCCCCAGAGCACAAGGGCCACAGTGCCTGCCTCTGAGTCTGGTGCAGCCCTGGCAGAAGTTGAGTAGCATCCAGAGGGTGATGGGCAGCAAGTGACTTGTCTGTATGAGTTGCCATGAAGATAAGTCAGTGTGATCATATCTGTCCTGGGGAGTTTGGCACTTAAATTCATTCTCAGATTTGGGTTAAGGACCACTATGTGTAGAAGCATCCCTTGACCTCATTACTCTATCCCATGCCATCTGAGGCTCTCAACTATTCTAATCCATGTTAGTACTATTGTATTATAATTAACTAATACCTATCGACCACGGTGAATTCTGTGCGGAAACCATGTAAACTCGGTTTATTAGTAGGTTTCTGATACCTAACAAAGAGCCACCCGCAGAAGGAGGCAGATCAATATTTGTCGTAGGTAAATGAAAGGTCATGATTGGTCACCAGATACATGAGCAGGCTATAATCCAGTCCTTGGAGCTGGGTGTAGGATAACTGCGAAGATTTTCCTGGTGGGTCTCTCCTCAGGGTTGTAGAGTTAGCTGATCAATCAAACATGCTTCTAAACAAAACCTCCATGTAAACCACTCACATACTATTGTTGTTAAGAATCTTCAACTGTTTTATCTAAAGGGGAAGGGTGCATGATTTAATACTAGTCAAATGTCTGATCCCTCAAATAAAAATAAAACAGCAACAAAAGAATTATTCAAGTAGCTTAATAGACTGTTGTTTTTCTTTAATTATTTTATTTTATTTTTTGCCCCCGAGATAGCATAGACTAAATTGCTGACGAGTACTGGCTATACGAAAAACTCTTCAAACCATCACAGTGTTGAGAACTCGGCCACTGAATGCAGATGTGCTTATTTACTGCAGAAACTCAATCCGCTGTGACAACATCCCCATAGTGTAACCTGCTACACCGATACTTTCCTAAGTGTGTAACAGCGGTATAAACAGAGGTATCCTTATTACAAAGTTCATTTCTATGAAACAGTCATGGCTGGCAACTGTGTATGAATCTCTGAATTTCATTTGTCATGAAATCCAAAGGAAGTCTGAGGCAGAGCTTAAGTGAAATGAGAGAAACTTTGTTAGAATTAAATTCTGAAACACTGGAGTTTCTTCTCACAGAATTGCTGGATACAGAGAACTAGTTAAAAACTGCACGGCCGGGAGATTGACAGCCCTGGCCTTCTAAGCTGAACCAATGAGGCAGCACAGGACTCATCGGAGAGCCCGAAGGAGGATTAGCTGTAAGATTGTTTGCTGGCATCCAGAGTGTGTTACTTTCTCTTGCTTTGTCATTTCCTGAGGGTGCAGTGGGGATGAACACCAGGATCTCTTCTGCACTACCTCCTCGTATTGAACACAGAGTGTAAATGAAAAACTGCATAGGTTCCTGCAACCCACGAGTGCACAGTAAGGTGGCTGGCTGTGTCCTGTTTGCAGACACTGTACATAGGAATAATAACAAATTTGGTTTAAAATGTCTTCAAAACTGAACACCCCTTTTCCACTGACTTGCTGCTTAAAGATAAAGCATGAATGAAAACAGTGGTGTAAGCCAGAAATGCCCAAAGCAAGTAAGTGTGATTAAGAAACCAGTATTTACTCGCTTCACTGAGGTAAGGACATTGCAAAATTTGCTGATAAGGCCAGTGCCACTCAAGGTTTAGGTAGGCACACATATAATATGACATAAAGTAAATGGACGCCACAGCCAGTCTGAGGGACATTATCACTGCTGTTCTTCAAAGAGAAGATGTTTGTGTCCCTACCTCCTTCCTGTCACCAGCATTTTAGATTGCTCTGTGACTGCAAAGAGGAGACATGATAAAACAAGAGTAATTATCCAAACACCATAGTATTATTTAACTTAACAACAGATGAAGGCCCCTCTGCAGCTTCTTCCCACATCTCCGCTGCACCCTGACTTAGGTCAGAGCAAAGGGAAATGGTTTCTTATCGCCAGGCCCAGATGGCGATCTTACAAGGCCCTAAATACTGAGAGACATGCCAGTCATTCTCCACCGCATAGCAAGCATCCCCCAAGGAAAGCAGGAACAACTGTAAAATACACAGTTAATCCACCCCAGAGTGAAAAGAACTGCTTTCTAGACTAAAAAGCAAAACAAAACTCAAACCCTCCTTGCACAAGAACCTCCAAACATTTCAAACTGATGGCATCAATTAAATGTGTATTTCTTGCGCCAAGTAAAGGGAACCCACTCACCCATAAGCCACGCCCGCGATGGTGCACTTCTTAAACTGCATCACGTTGCACGTCAGGGTCCCAGTTTTGTCGGAAAATATGTATTTAACCTATGAACAAGTTTAAAGTCCTAATTAATATTTCAGGTTTTTTTTTCAATTTAAAAATGTTCCTCTTGGTGTCTTATGCATATCAGGTAAGAGCCCTACTTATGAGCTATATCCATCCTGGCCAGAAATGTTTTATAGAGGGAAGAAAACGTATTTAAATTATACTTTCTTTAAAAGTCAACTTCGTTCTACTGTGGGGGTATAATGACAGCTAGAATTGCTTCTAGTACATTCTTTAAGGAGCAATCCAGCTCTTTTAGTATTTTAGTGATCAATTATCTTGTATATGGGTATTAATGTGTACTAGAAAAACTAGAGTCAGAGAGAAATCTGCTTCAGGATAATCTGAATTTTGACAGAAAGTTTCACTACTATTTTCAAACACAGACAGTACTAAGACCTAGCCAGTATTTCTCAAAATAACAAGAAATTCTACGGTTGGTAAGAGCTTGTGTAGTTAACTTCAGACACCATCTAAATTAGTAAGGAATAATATAATCTGTTCTAAATGCAATTTGAATAGTTGGCGTTGGAAAGTGGAGGGAGAGAAAACAAAAATCCTTTTTCAGTTAGCACCTATAAATGGTTACACACACACACAAATAGTCGCATGTCACCTAAGGATGCTTCAGCTGATGAAGGATGCACGTATGATGTGGACACCACAAGACTATATCGCTTGCCTGCTGAGGTCATAGCTGTGTGCGTTTTATGATGCTTACACAACGCTGACATCTCCTGATAATGCACTGCTCAGAACAATCCCTGGTAGGTGAGGCAAGGCACACCTTAATAAAGTCTCAGTTATAAATCTAATCTGAATTCCTATTTGGCTCAACTCAGACAACTTAAAACTTTTCCTTCGTTCCGGATGAAAGTCCTATAACTCAAAAACAGCCAATATTTTCATCAGACGGCCTGCTAAGAAACACACCTAGCCTTCGCACAGTATCTCACCTTGAAAGAAAAATCTGTTTACTTTTTTGAAAATTTCGCCATGAAATATGACCACCGTATGTCAGACACTAGAAATGCGTTTATGTGAGTTATTCAAACAAGGGAAAATGAAGAGCTGCTACTTCCTCTGAAGTCACCACACAAGACAGAAATTCTACCAACTCTCACTTCTGATCCAACTATGCCAATAAGAGCTTACCTGGCCGAGTTCCTCATTCAGATTAGATGTCCGGGCCATTGCCGCAGTGTCTGTGGGTTCATAGTGCATGTCAAGATCCTACAAAGAAGGAAGTGACACCCTTGAATACAAAGGGCTGGGGGACGGGGTCAGCAAAAAAAATCATTTTGTTTTCTTCACATTTCACAAGTCACCACTGGACTGCTGAGCTCTGTGGAGCCACTCTAGTTCCTTGTTGTCTGGACATGATTCTATGTGGCCGACCTTAGAAGTACCCAGCAGGGAATGGTTTGCTCTCATTGGAATGGAAAGGAACGAAAAGCAGTGAGAGCTTGCTGTGGAGTCAGTAAACTTAACCTCGTGCTGGGGTTAAGTTATGCAATACCCATGAAGGGCTCCCTAGAGCGACGCAAAGTGACTGTTCAGGGATGCTTGCTAGAGAGGCAGCTAATGCTTTCATACGGTTAGCTCTTCAAGCAACGGGAAAAGCTATCTCGAGTGACCACATCTGGCTGGACTTCCCAGGCTAAATTTCTTTTAATACAGATATTTGACAGTCAACTGAGAAAGGTATAATTTTATATTTCTTTGAACTTGCCTTGCACCCAGGGACCACGAGGTCTGACCCCATCTTCCAACCCCAATATGTGAGAGTTTTTACAGTAGAATATTGCATTAACGAGTTGGGGCTGTGGCTCCATTGGGTTTCACACCTCTCCTGTCTCTGCTTCTGGGGCAGGCTTTTGAGTTTACATGCCATGTTGGAAGACAGACATTTGCCAAGTGAGTTGTGTTGAGAGAGGAGAAGAAAGGGCTCACACAGATCAGTCTGGAAACCACATGAAACGCAGACCAGCTAGAGGAGAGGAGGGGGTCTGAGTCAGGAGGGTCAGGCATGACAGAAGAACAGGCACGAGAGGACAGCCGAGGGTAAACATCACAAAGTTATCATTCAGAAATCCATACTGTATAACAAGACAACTGGCCAGAACCAGAATCCAGGAGACAGTTATTGATCTCATTTTCGCCCAAGGAGAAAGAGGGCTTGTCAGGGTCATCACAAAGTCTCTGCTGGCTAAGAGGGTGGTTAAAAAGCAAGAGCCTGCCAGGCTAACTCAACATTACCATTATATATTTGAAACCAATTCTACTATTTGAAAATCCACATAAAAAATAGGGACTTGAGTAGCCATTTGATCATCGTAGCGCATTTACCTAATTATTTATATGAATGAGAGCCCCTCATTAACTTTAATTTATCTGCATATATAGCTCAATTCTCTGGCACGCATTCCCTGTGTGAAGTGAACTATGCCTGCTGCTCATTTCAAATTGCTAAATTATACTGATCTTTTTCCAAGCACAAGAAAGAGGCTGACATTTTAGCAAGATCATTCACCACAGGAAGACAATGCACAGCTGCAAACGTATCTTTGGTTATATTTTTAAACTACCGATACTGCTCACATCCAGAGCTTTAAGATGAGTTTGGAACATAAAAAGTGAAATCAAAATTTCTCAAAAAATTCAACGTTTTGGCAAATAATGCCTGAAAATATAATTTACACAAATCCATTAATTTTAACTAAGATAAAACGGAAAGAACAAAACAATATTTGATGGAAAAATATAGAAACCGGATGTTTACTACATCTCTCCAATATTAAAATCATCAATATAATAATTCAAAAAGGAAATCCATGCACGCCAAAATCATTTACAGATTTGAAAATGAGCTAGATGGATGAGCAAATCCCACAGCCATGGTGGTAGAAACTGTTAGGTGCTTGACTGCTTAGAAAACTCTTTGCCTCTAAACAGGTTCTTGAGCTGCACAAACACCGTGAGACTAAGCACCTTGTTAGTGTCCAGAAACGAAGGTCCATGAAGTCAGGTGACTGGACAGAGCTGCTTATGTGGTAAATTATGACACTGTTTCTACAAGATGGATTTTCAGTTCCATACACACGGGGTCTCCTTCCTCTACAGACACTGTGTGTTCACAACAGGCTTCCTGAACTAGACACCAGTTTTCCTCAGGATGTCTGGTGTTATCAATTTGCCTGACTCTGAGCAGACCATGTTAAAATTATACGAGGCTTAAAAGCTACCACCACAGAGTCATCAAAAAGGACATACAGTTAAGACTTAAATTTTTTTTTTAACCTCCACTAATCAAAAGACCCTAATAGAGTAAATTTTTAAAAAGGACAAAATACATACTTAGGAAGATGACATATAATATAAATTCATATTTACCCAATTTATGAAGTATGCCTGGGTAAATTTTACCACTTCTAATGTAACCAACAAGCTGATGGGAATGAGGTTGTTGAAAAGGATAATGAAAGTCAAGAAGTTCAGCCCGAAATTACTAGCGCCACCATCTGTTGGGGAGAAGGGAGAACATCATTTATAACTTTTTATGTCTGCAGTGAGAAAACCCGAACATCTCAAGAATTTCCTATATTGCACAGCTAGGCAAAGACTTTGCTAATAACATATCCTGATTCTCAAACCTCTCTTTCAGCGTAGAATCAAAGTTCCGTCATCCCTTTCTCTAGGGTCCCACATGAGGGAGTGAACCAACTTTAGACTGACAATAATCTGCCTATACCTGATATGAGTAGGTGATAAATAACACAGTGTGGTAACTACTTACACAGCATATACTTTGCATCATGCATATTAAGTAATCTGGATATGACTCACAGTACAGGACAGAATACACACAGTACAAATACTGGGCCATTTAAATGAAAGGCTTGGGCATCTGTCAGGCTATGGTCTTTGCCTGGTGTCCTAGAATCAGTTCCAACGCTACAGAGAGACAGCTGTACTTGTATTCAGTATGTTAATCCTATTAAGCCCTCCACAGTGCTATTAAAAAGTGCAAGAAACCCGGCATGGCGCCTTTAATCCCAGCACTAGGGAGACAGAGGCAGGTGGATCTCTTGAGTTCAAGGTCAGCCTGGTCTAAAGAGTGAGTTTCAGGACATTGAAGGTTATACAGAGAAACCCCATTCTGTTCTGGCAGACGCAGGGGGGAGCGTGGTGGCATGCAGCATGCCTGCGGCCTGCGTAGATGAAAGAAAAGTGCTCTAGCTATTGGTATTGCACATCGTGCTCCAATACGGAAGTCCAGAGATATCAGGAGGGTTGAAGATTTGTAAATGCAAAGTTTCAATGGGGCGGAAGACTTCTATGTAAATTCTTTAAAGCATTTTCAAAGCATGGTTCCAAAGCCAACACAATAGCAACTAGAACAATCCAAGTTGTAAGAACACTTCTTATTTTTCCAGTACTGGTCTCCCGGGAGGCCCCATGAACAGTCGGTAAGCATTACACTGAGCTGTATCCTTTGCTACAGGAACGTTATTCATGTGGAGGGAAATTAGCCTCCTAAGTATAACTTCTTCCTCAGTAAGGAAAATAAAACAGGGAAGACTAATATAGTGTAAGGAATATGCACAAACAAATTGATTGCAGTAATAACATTTTTTTCATGCTGAAATAATAAATCAATAACTATAAAATAACTTGGAATAGCTGCAGAGCTAACTAATGTAATAAAAAAGTTAGATCAATGTAATAAAAACAGCTTTAAAAATCTGTTTTTTGTTTTTCTTTTTCCTGTACGACTACTGCAATTTGTTTTCACACTTTGGGGAAATTATTTACTGACTAAGTATTCATCACAAGGAAATGCAAACTCATTTCCTAGAAATCCCCAGAGGGGATACATTAATATGAGAACAGCAGAGAATACATATTCCAGACGGAAGTGATTAAGACCACTCTCCCTGGAATAAGATGAATATTTACATAAAATTTCTTTTACTGAGTTCAAAGGAAAGCACATTTAAAGGAAGAAAAGAAAGGAAGGAAGGAAGGAAGGAATAGGGTAGTAAGAAAGAACATTCAGTTCAAACATTTTTAAATCATATAAATTATGCTTTCATAATATATTCAGTACTCATAGTTTTCTCCACACATCATCTCCTTTCGTGAGTTTAACAGCCACATTTAATATATATTAGAGGGCAGGTTTTATTTCGTGTATCATGTTAATGGTTATATTTATTTATAAAGCATTTTATACTACTATGGAATGGAGGTATGTTTTTAAGTATTTTGAAGTTTTGAGAACCTGGATTTTACTCACTTTTCCTGGAAATCTATGAAAAAAAAAATGAAGAGAAGACTTCCAGTTATCCTAGCCACAAGTTTTCTTTTCAGAAACAAGAGGACATTCCTCAAACTAAGTTAAGATTGATGGTGAAGCAAATGTCTATTTAACTCAAAGGGAAAGAATAAGAAAGTCAGCCCTTCATTGCTCACAGTGTAGATGGAGGTACCAGTCTTTCCCGGAGTGCCTTCGATTCCAAATGGCCGAGCCCACAGAACAGATAAGAGACATGGCGATTAAGATGCAAAATAAAATCAGAATCTGTACATTTGTAATCCGTTCCACATTGGAGAGCTTAAGTGGCGGGCTTGTGGAATTCTGTAGAACAAAACACAACAGAACGAATGGTAAAAACTGCACAGTTCAGCATTGCTTACTTAGTATTTGATGAGGGTGACAAAGTCACAACGAACACTTGGGCTTGAGCTGAAAACTTTCCTAAACATATGACAAGTACAATAAGGTGCCCACGGCTGCCACCTCTTTTTCTTACCATGTACACCTTTTTCTGGGCTGTAAAATAATGAGAGAAAGGGGAGGCTCACATTCATTTTGCAGACTGTGTCAGGGAGGTTAAGATGTACTTGTCTACTTAAGCAAACAAGATCTTTCCACAGCACCTACTCCCTGCCTTTGCTTAGAAAAGAGGCCAAGAAAAAAGGCCCACAGCTCTGCAAATATCTCAACATCCAAAGCTTCTCTGGTGCCGCTCGGCAACTGTTTTACAGGATGCAGCAGTAGTTCGAGTCAAATCATCTATGATCAGTAACAGCAGCTGCAGCAGCAGGCTGGCTTAGGAGGCAGAGGCAGGAGGACTGTGGAGCAAGCCTGGCCTATGCAGCAGAGGACAAGGAAGGCTTCTCTGCTCTATGTGATGATTCAGTAGTTACGCCAGATCTGAGCATCCTCAGGACAGACAAGGAAATCCCTCATGGCAAATAGAAGTGAAGAATGACAGACTTGATAGTACCACTAGGGTAGGAGCCCTACCAACCATCTCACCTGGGTTGACAGCAACGTCACACCTGTATGATGTACAGGGACACTGCTCCTTAGAGTAGAACTCCTATTAGTATTTCAAAGTGAGTTTCCTATACTTGCTACACTACTGAATGCAGAAAGTATTACAATGGAGAGATGAAGCCCCCAAGGATGTATAGAAGCATCTGGACAATAGATGGCAAAAACAGTCTTGTATGGAATGCCATGGGGTGGGGAATGGCTGTTTAATTTATACTTTTCTTTAAATTTTATGAAAAAACTCCAAGTTTAAAATTTGATCATTGCATTATAATAAAAGCATAAAATAAATACTTTATTGCAGACACGCGGTACACAGACCACTTGAAGTGAGCACTAGCATCTGGAAAACACACACCACCATTGGGCATTCTTGTATCATGTGATCTTGGGAGCAGTTTCTCAATGTTCCCTTATGTAGAGAGCTCTTCTCACAGGGAAGGAATTTCAAGATCTCGTTCACCTTGTTCCCAATATGGGTGTGTGGTATGAGGCTAAGAAATATTTGATGGCTGATTTGCTCTGTTTGGGCCAAGGGCATCAGGAATGATGATGAATCATGCATTTCCAAAAGAGCCTGGAAAGATTTCATAGATAAAAGTCCCACCTGCATCAGCTTGGTGTCATGTCCAGTGTAGACGACTATCCCATGGACCCACTGAGTATTTCTTAACTGAGCACCTCGAAGAAGAATCTGGTCTGCTCCCAGGGGGACAGTGCTGTGACAGAGTGTATTGGCATTAGAAATGACATTGTCCAAGATGCCCAAGAAACGCACAGCCATCACAGTTATCAGAGTCTCCACCATGGAAACTTTATTTTTGGAAAGGAAGCATTTTTTTTCCCCTACCAACAATGATGATTTTCCAATATAACTCTTGGGAAGACATTTGTTTTTGTCCTTAAGACCAGACTGGTCATTTCCTATATAGCTTTCTTCTCCCTGGGGGACTACAAGTATCCCCCAAATATTGGGACTACAAGCTCCAACCCCAAATGGTGATGACATTTGTAGTCGTACCTCTACCAGGCTATGAGTTTTAGGTGAATTCAGGAGGGTGAAGCACTCTGACGCGATTAGTGCCCTAACAAGACAACAGAGAGCCTTCTTTGTCACATAGATATACACAGAGAAGATGTGTTTGGCCAGATGCAAGGATAGCCTTCATTAGAGTCCAATCATGCTGGATAATTTCCATTATCCAGATGGGAAGACAAACAAATTTCTACTGACAAAACTATCAGGTTCTATCATCAAGGTAGTCAGAGAAACCCAATATACTATCTCAAATAGCAAGCAATGCTTGGGGATGCGGTAGCTGATCTCACATATGATTTTTCCTGCGTTACTAAGTTGACTTAAGTTTATGTAAAGTTTGGAACTGGTGGAGCTAAGTCCCCACCCATTGGTTTCAATGAAAGTCTATAAAAAAATATAGGACTTGTCAGTTTGAAAAGGCTGTGGAGCTGGGGGAACTCTGTCTCTGGTGGGCTTAGGTGGTTGAGTCAGCTTCTGAGGGTAGAGATAGTTTGGGCATTGGAGCTTCTTTCAGGAAATATACTCAGTCCGGATGTGTGGGTTAGAACAGCCCCAGTGGGAGTCCTCAGGAAACAGTGTTTCATCCCCCATCACTTACATCCAACAGCAGCCCTTAGGGCCCCTGGGGATGGGAATGAAACTGAGACCGTTGTGTGAAGGAATATAAATGCTCGAGGGCTGGTTATTATGTATGAAAAAGAGGTTTAATTCTGAGTCAATCTGCAGTTATCACAACGGAGGCTGAGTTGCCAGTATGTAAACCCTGCAGAAGACAAAACCATATTGAAACCACAGAACTCTCTTGTATATATGTCAAGATTTGGAGTACACTTCAGGATTGGGGTGGTGGTGGTGGTGGGGGCTTTGAGGCTAAAGCAGGTTCCACAAAGTCCTTGAGAAGTTGATGGATTTTGCTCCAGGGCATAAGTATACCCATCAATCCTCACCTATCTGACTGGGCTCAGCATCACAGGCTTGTTGCTTCCCACTGCCTCCCGCTGTACCTGTTCCTCTTGGAGCACCTGCCTCACCCATTCATTTTGATCTTTCTGATAAAATTAAGCGTATTATAAAATTCCAGTTCCTTAAATCTCGGCACTATCATGTAAAGTTTTCTTCATGGCATGGATTTGCTTGGCACCAATTTAATGAGAAGTTGGTTAAGGAATGGAAGCTGGCCAGGTAAAAAAAATGTCAGACTTGAGAAATGATACTTGTCCAAATGGCCAGATTTATCATTAGTCTATAACCATATGTTCAAGGAAAGATTACTTTGAAAATTCTAGAATTAACATTTACCTCAAAGATCATAGGAAGTTTTGGGGGACGAGGTTAAGTGTGCCTGCCACCTCAGGGAATGTGTCACGTGCCATTTACTTAGCATCTTATTCATATTCTAATAGTGAGAACATAGACAACATTCCTCTAGGCTGTTGGACCAGAACATCTAGCTGCCGCTTACCTGGCCACCACACCTATCTCTAGACAACATCTGCTGTGTAGAGGAGGTAGGGCAAAGAGGGAAAGAATGAGGACAGGAAACAGAAGTGGGGCAGCACACACCCCATCTGCCTTGCGTAGTTCTGCCTGAATCCTTTGCCTTGCATTGTAAACCTCCTTGATAAAGAAGCCTATGCTTGCTTTAGTCAATTCTTCTCCATGATGTCAGGTTCACCCTTATCAGGCTCATCCTGCTCTAACCAAGGGCCAGGATCTCTGCTCAATAAACCAAAATGTTCGTGATCAGCTACATTGCAGTTGGTCATGAGTGACAGCTGACCCAACTTTGTACCTCTCTTTCTTCTTGGAAGTTTCTTTACTCTTTCTTGGTTTTTATCCCATGAACTTGATCTCTAATCCCTGTTCTTCTCTCAGCCTCCCAATGCTAGACAGTCCTTGGGTCTTTTGATTTTTTTTTTTTGTTTATATTCAATTTCAATGATTTTTCCAGCCCCAGTGAGGAGTTTAAATATCTATGTGAACTACTATCAAAGTTCAAACTTCTGACATATACATAATTTGGTTTTTGAAGATAGGGTCTCTCTGTAGCTTTGGAGCCTGTCCTGAAACTAGCTCTTGCAGACCAGGCTGGCCTCGAACTCACATTGATCTGACTGCTCCTGCCTCTTGAGTCCTGGAATTAAAGGCCACTACTGCCGGCCAGATATATTCAAATGCTGCTTGGACACCATAAACTTATTAAGTCCAAAACTAAGATGATATTTCCCCTCCATAACTCACTCATGAATCCCAAGTTTGCTCAGAAATCCTATAATACCCTACACAGCCTCATGCGATCTGGCCCATCTGTTGGCTTTCACTTCAATTTCTCTTCTTCTAATCACAGTGATTCACACTATTTATTCTGTTCAGAATCATCTACTTCAGATATTCAACTGATTAAGCTCCTAACCTCCTGATTACGAGGTGATTTGAACAATCACCATTGCTCAAATGCCACCTAAAGGAGGCTGACTTCAATCACCCCGAGAGATTCCCTCCTAAAGAAATTTCCTTACCTAATAGATTTTTCTCACCTCTTGTCCTAGGCTGTATCTCCTGAAGGCTCTATTGTTTTTTTAATTAATAAAGGATAAAATTTTCTTATTTATTCCTTTATTTCTGTTTGCCCTTCATTTGCTTTACTACAAGAAAGTAAGCTTACAAAATCCTATATATTGACACATTGAAATTCAATCTTTAATATTGTAGCACTTAGAATGTTGGTTTCTTGAGAAGGGGTAGTTAACTCTTAAAATTTCTGCACTCATGGGGCTGGGGAGATGGCTTACTGTGCAATCATGAAGACCTAGTTTAATTATCAGAACTCATATTTTTTAAAAAAGCCAGGTACTGGTTGTGTTTATAATTCCAACACAGGGACTGGCAGACAGGAACAACCCTGAAGCTTCTACCCAGTCACATAGCTTACCAGCCAATCAATTGATGAGCTCACACCAGTGCAAGACCCTGGATCAGAAGACAAAAGTGGCTGGCGCCTGAGGAACGGCACCTGAGGTTGACCTGAGGTCCCTTTGTGCACACTTTTCACACAGGTGCAGTGCGTACAAGCACACACACACACACACACACATGAGTTATGGTCTTGTGACTGGGACTGAAACCTTACAAAGGATGCCTGAGGGTCTCCAACATGCCAGGACACAGGGTGCAATACTTCCTTATCAGCCACCAAACTTGGTGCCTTGATCTTCCAGATTTCTGTTGCTCATAAATTTTTGAATTTTAAGTAACTTTGTTGGAGTGAATGAATCAGTGAAAACACACAATCAAAGGTATTTATCTGATTTGCTCATTGTGGCTTGTGTAATATTTGTAAATTGTCTTGGTTATCAGGTACATACGAAATTCTAGTTGAATGAGTAAGAGTGGTAATAAGGAAGTTGTAGGAAAGATGGGAATCTGGTGACAGATAACAGTGACTTTAATGATAGTATGGCCTAGAAAAAAGCATATAGAGTTATACAACAGAGTCAGACAGAAGAGATAAAAAAAAAATAGCCAGTTGTGGTACAGTCTGAACTCCTCGAGGCGTCCTGAGATAACAGGAATAAACCATGGTCATGGGCATTGGAAAGTTCATGGCAAGAATCTCAGTCAAAGAACCAGTCACAGGCTATTTAACCATCAAAGAATATTTCAGAATCCTGGAATATCACTGACAACATCTAACTGCCAGCCTGCAGGAACATGGGAAGGTCCTGGACCACATTACACGAGTGGGTTGGGATTCAGCCTCCTTCCCAAAAAATGTGAGTCAGAAAACAGACATGCTTAAAACAAAGGTGAAAAGTGAGTATTCAGTGAGAGCAGAGGAAAACCATACGGGCTAAAGGATTACACAGTGAAAGTGAGTTTACCTACCCATGTCCGTCCAGCCTTATGTTCCCAACAAAATCATAGAGATGTCGGTTTGGGCTTTCACACTCGATTCTGCCGGAAATTCTCATCAAACTGTCAATGTCTTTGATGTCTGATGTTGCTGGTAAGCCCTGTTGGAATATTTTCAGACAAACAGAGTATTTTACTTAAGTATGGTGGAGGCACTCTCCAAGGTCTTACAGACAAGGAATCTCACTATTTTTCAAGTAATTCCCTGTCTTTTTATACAGCACTATCAAACTATAATATATCCTTATCAGTGTGAGCATGGACCTTTAGTAGAAAATAATGTAACTTCTGTGGAAGTTTTAAAGTACCCAGTGTACCAAGTAAAAATCAATCTTTGCTGCTGTATACTCTCTGTATTTTAAAGATGAGAGAGTCTAATGAAAGGGACGAAACACAGGCACAGTCTGTTCAACAGAACAGTTTGTCCATCCATCCTCTTTCTCCTTCTCTCGCTCCCACCTTGAGAGGGAGAACTTCCGAGAAGTCCTTCACCCAGCTGGAGGTAACAAGGCACCGAGACCATTCACCCAGCCATCTGACTTCAGTTCCCTCATGACGTCCAGTTCTACCACAATCCAAACACCCCACTGGCATTGCTGTCACTCAGCAAGAAGTCAGTGTTACATATTTTAATCCCATCCCCTCAAAGCTTTAAAAAAAACATCTCACAGTTGTTCTGTGCAACTTTTCATAGAATGAGAAGCAAATTAGAAATATAAAGTAATTCAAATTCCCAAGATAAATGCTTCTGAAGAGCAATGAAAATTTTGGCTTGTAAGTGTGGCAAACCCAGTGCTAACTGGGAGGGCTAAGAAAAACAAATTAACATGCCAAAGAGCTTGGAACACTGGATGGTAGTGGCACTTATCTTTCAGCCCAGCACTCACAGAAGCAGGTGGATCTCTGTGAGTTTGAAGCCAGCCTGGTCTATATAAGTGCAGGCCAATCAGGCACACTTGTATGCATTCTCTCTCTCTCTCTCTCTCTCTCTCTCTCTCTCTCTCTCTCTCTCTCACACACACACACACACACACACACACATACACATAAACAAGTATTAAGAACTGCTACTATTACTATTATTATCATTCAAGCATTGGCTATTATACAAAATAGTATTATAAATAATATTAAAGAGAAAACAGTTGTAATTAGACGGAATCACCTTAGACACTTAGAGGTTCTTAAACACACAGCAGGAAGCAGCAACTGGGAGCTGGTGGCAGAACTCACCTGTCTAATTTTCAAGTTGGTTTCACCATCTAAGTTGGATGTCTCGATGTAGCACATGGCCTGGGGCTCACTGTTATTCGTAATTGAGAAACACAAAGATTCAGTTGGGGAAGGAAAGGAAGGTACCAACTGCCATTGATCTAAGAGCTCAGACTCGCCAAAGGCATTTGTTCTAGACAAAGCTCTGGTCACCTAGCTTCTTGGTGATTCTCATTCTAACAGCGAGACAATGGGAGGCAGAGCTACTCATGCACAACACTCATGGATCAGCCTTCCAGCCGGGAGAAGCCCAAAAGCTACTTCCTGACAACACCGAGTGGTGAGCTTCAAGATCACAGTAATGAGGAGCCACACTATGTAAACCACTTATCCACACAGACACAACACAGACTGTTCTGAAGTCTAATGGAAGGTTGTGTCCGGATTTGTCTCCAGCTCAGAATGTCCAGTCAGGCTTCATGCTCATGGCCCACATGTAAATTGGTTATGCAAAATGGTTGATTAAAAACTTCCAGATTGAAAAAAAAACCTTCCAGATTGTTCCTTCTACAAGCTTGTACTTACTAGTTTAATCCTTTAGCTGTGATGACAAGATCACACAGACCACATACTACTAAGGCTACTTTTAAAGAATGTATTTTTACCAAGTGACAATATACTTTATATTTTTTGGCCTAGTAAGAAAAAACTTGTCTGAGGTGTGTGTGTGTGTGTGCGCATGTTCATGTGTGGTCAGGTACATATGTGTGTGGGAGGGCACGGATGTGGTCAGAGTATAAGCTCAGCTATCAGTCCTCAGGTGCTGTCCACATATTTTTGAGACAGGGTCTCTCATTGGCCTCAAACCTGCTGAGTAGACCAGGTTAGCTGGTCAGTGAGCTCAAGGGATCCGCCTGTGTCTGTCTCCTTGGCTGTGAGCTTGCGAGTGTACCATCACACCTGGCGCTTTCATGTAGGCTCTCAGGGACTGAACTCAGGTCCTCAGGCTTATGATCAGGCACGTTATAGACTGGGCTATGAGAGCAGCCTGACTGAGATGTCTGAAGCAGAAAAATACTAAACTAAAGGCAGTCCACCTGGCTATACTGCCTCGTGTCCTGAAGCTAACGTTAGGCAGTCCACGTGGCTATACTGCTTCATGTCCTGAAGCTAACGGCAGTCCACGTGGCTATACTGCCTTGTGTCCTGAAGCTGTCACATGGGAGCGCCAGAAGTGAATTCTGTATGTGGTGACTGTGTTCTCCTGTTTTGTCAGAGCATCTTACTTTATTTGCTTGGCTGCTGCAGACATGTGAGTGCGGCCGGACCGTAAATTTAATCCTCAACTCTACAGGAAAACATTCTGAACATAACCCAAGAAGCAGTCTTAAGTTAAACCAATCTCATTAACACTTGGCTACATAATAAGCCTAGTGTGTTATCTGATAAATGACTATTAATATAAAAGAAACTTACAAGTCAAAAATACTGGAATTTTTTAATCAACTTCCAATTTGTACATGTGCAAAACAAACTGCCCTAAGTGCTGGAAATGGGCATTTAGCCTAACTATGCCACCCTGAAATTAAGCAAAGTTACTTAAAGACAGAGACATCAATCAAATTTTATAAGTAACTTCCCACCTTCTCCAATTTTTTTTTCCTATGAGCTTTTCTTTCATATAGACTGCTATTTCCCAAGCAGAGAAATCTTTCCATATTTGTATTTTCACTCTCAATTATTCCAAAAGAATGTTTTTAACTCATGGTCAAAATAGTTATTCTCACTCTGGCAACTGTCCAACTTTCTAATTTTCTCATATCCATTTGAAACATAAATGGTTTCTCAAACCGTGAAACACATTTCCCTGCTAACAAAGAAGAATGGCGACAAACAAAACACTGACTGAACTGTCGGTTCTCTTTCTAGGCAGTAAAACTTATTAAAATGCTACTAATAGATATACTTCTCTAAAGCCAGTCTTATAGTAAAAAGAATAACATTCTAACACGGCCCTCCATACAAAACACCTTGTGTAGAGCTTTAAATGACTAAGAAATTAGGATGTTTAAATCCTCACTTCTACTTAACGTGAAGCCAATTAAATCACCCCAATTTGGAACATTCCTAATGATGATTTAAAGACAGTTATGACTGCAGGGCTGTGAAGAAGCAGAAGAGTCAGGAATCATGCTAGTTCATAAATAAATACTTCAGCAAGTCAGGATAACATCCAAGACACAGTCAGACGCAAAGCAAGCTTTTTTGATTAGTAAGTGGAAAAAACGAAACAAGATGCAGACCACGGTACAGACACCAGGGGACGGCTGACATGGACCACAGCAATGTGCGCTTGCTCACAAGTTACAAGTGGGATAAAGACCGGTCCCCATGCATGCAGCACAAAAACGTACGACATCCAGCCTTGTGCAGGGGTCCTCTATAAACCCTATACAAGCCCAAATTTTAGTCGCAGTCACTGCAGAAATTCCACAGAAAATTTTGAAATAGGAGAATAAGAAAACATGCTTAAAATGTAGTCAGCGTCCAGTGGTTGTTTGAGGAAAAGCTGAACACCGTACAAGAACAATATGCTGGAGAGTTAGCGGCAAAACTCTTAAGAGTTGAGGCATATTGTTAAAACATATGTGACTGGTGCAAAAGAAATCAACATCTCTTGGCCTCCTATTGGTAATAATAGGAGCTCCGTCTGCCCAGCCGAGGGACAAACGGCATCCAGCACGGTAATCACAAAGTGCCTTTAAAACGCCTCTGATGCGCATCGTCTAGCAATAGGCATGCTTGGCGCTTTTAAGGAAGCGACCGAGCTCAACTGCATTTGGGCGCCATGGTTGCTTGGTTTAAGGTGAGGACCCGCGTACACACACCCTGTGTGACTCTGTGGTTCTGACCTGGAGGACAGACTGATGAGATCTGCTGGGAGGTGCTCCCCATTGGCCACTCTCACTATTTCCCCCACTGCCACCTACACGTCCCAGTTTAAAATAATTAAAATGGGAGGAAAAAAAAAACAAACAACAGAGAAAATAAAAACCAAACAAATGGACAAAAGAGACAGAAGGTTTGAAATTATTATAGAAAAGAATTCATGTTAATAAAAATGTCTAATGCCGATTTTTTCAAAACTTATTTTGATCAGGCCTCAAGGAAAATGAAAATATTTTGCACACAAAGGATACTTATTTGATTTTTTAAGCCCAATTTTCAATTTCTAATGTGAAAAGTTAATATTATAAATAAGTATTTCTTATCAAATTAAATAAAACATTTTATAGAGTTACTTTATCTCACAGGTTTTTTTTTTTTTGTAAAAATCCTTAATTTGCAGCCAACACTATGCTTACTCCTATCAAATAAGCAAAGGAAAAAATTTAAAACTATGTGTTAGCTATATGAAAAACAAGTATACTACATTAAGCCCCCTCTCACATACTGCAAAAGTAATAAACTCTGTTCTGATTCCAAAATGTTTTCAAAGTTGATTGCATCCCTATCATATTAACTTTACTGGAAAGCTGCACAGATATCTGTCTTAGGCAGTTAGGGGCATGACTGCACCATTTGGAGTTATTTAATAATTGATAAAGTATAAGTAACATATTGTGCTTTACAGAGTATAGGAGGGTAAGCCTTTGTGTCCAGAGAAAAGTCTGATTCAAGGAGGGAATGAAAAGGCCTGACTGACAACCTGCCTGGACATGAATTAAATAAAGTCTTGGTCGCTGTGTGCCACGCTTTTGTCACATAGTGGTATCCGTGGCCGCGTGCTGAAATTTCAGTTTGCTCATTTCAAGTGGAAAGTCAGTGAAACACAGAACTTTCAATGAAATTCTAACCTAATTCCAAGCCACCTCAAGCTCTCACGTAACCTAGCCAATCAAGTCCATGAGCAAACAGTTCCATTTCAGAAATGCTCCCTGACGAAGTTCTGAGCAGTCGCTGAGAACAGAAAGTCTGACTTAAGGACAGTTCTCTGTGCCACACAAAGATGCTAGTGACAAACTCGAGAAATAAAACTGCCCTGGCTTACTTCAACCCCTGAATACCTGTTTCTATAAATAGCCAAGGAGCTACTAGCTTCCTGATTATGATTTACTAACTTGTCAATTATAAATATCCAATCATTTTAAACCACGACCTGATTAAATAGATTTTGAAAAAAGGACACTGTCCATATTTTTATGTGGATTTTACAAATCAAACTGTCCAAGGAAATGATGATAAACAACCTCAAGAATAGTAAAAAACATTTCTTCTTAATTTATTTTTGGACTAGTTTTAAGGTTTTAAATCCTAAATTTACATAAGGACTAGTGTGATAGTTTTTAATCCTAAAGCCATATGTTCTGAATACTAATTCACAACTATCTTAAACATGAATACAACAAAAATTATCTAAATTCAGTAACAGAAAAGAACAAAAGAAAGAATAAAGTACTTTTTTTTTTGGCTAGAAAACAGTATTATTTAGTAAGGTACAATGACAAAAAGAAATAAACCACTCATCGGTCCTCTTGTACCATATCACCATAAGGAATAGGAAAGTTTGCAAGAGAGATGGTTATTGCACCATAAAGGAATTCGTGAATGAGGACTGAAAGAAAAAAATCAGCAGAGCCCAGTCTATGAACGGCATAAAGTCAATGACAGGGAATCTTAAGCCCAGTTAGTGGTCCACACACACCACAAGGATCTGGATGTAGCCAGAGGAGATTGAGAGGAGATTCTCAAGCTTGGGCTAGGTAGTACCCGATACTTGTTCTGTATGGCAAACATAAAGCCAATCCATTTTTTATACACTTAAAATATCTCGAGAGGTTTGCAATTCTTCGTTTATTCTTTATTTCCTTGGAGAAACCACAAGGTCAATGCAGGGTAGAGAAACCATCCTCTACCCTGTTTGAGCATCAGTAGGTGTCTCTACCTTGATGAGAGAAGGACAATGTCAGCAGGTATATACTCTTTGCCTTTTATTATAACTATATCTCCAACATTTACCTGAAAGAAAACTGGGAATTGGTTAATTATCTGCATGGAAAGATAGCAAAAAAAATATATATACAACCCATTGTATTAATACACAGAATAAAAAAAAACATTCTAATCTTCACAAAAATGGCATAAAATTATTTAGGGGCAAATGTATATTTGTTTTTAATCTGTTACTTATCTTAATAAAATTTATTGAACAATTATAACTACTTGGTTGACATCTCAACTTCTTAAATGTTCTTGCTTTGACATAAAAATAAGAAGGAGGAAGCCGCTGGCTAAAACCTCCCCCCTACCCAAGGATGTCTCAGTACAAGCTGAGAAATAATCGTATCTGTGGCTACTCCTCACAGTGACCCTCACGCAAAAAGAACCCACTTAAATTTATAATTTAGAGAGGAAGAAAACATCTAAGATTCTAAGTTCCTGAGTCACATGTTCAGGGTGAGTGGAAAAGCCGAGGCTCAAATCCACACCTGCCCATCACATAGTCCGATGCTTGGCGTAACTGCAATGAGACTATAATTATAATTAAAATAAAATGAACACAAAGTTTGTTTATTATGCATTTATCATCCCTGAGTACGGTATGAAGATGAATTAAAGTCCTTTGTGGCCAGAAACTATTAGAAGTGGTTTGCCAGTGTTCTTACCGCTTTTGGCAAACAATGCATCTCCCACTCAGCAATACCTGGCTCTACTCCCTTAGTGGGAGTCATGACAGGGAATTACTGCAGATAGGGCCATTGTGCTCGGTTTTATCTATTGGGAGAAATAGGTGAGGGAAAGCTGGAGGGGCCATCTTATAATCTACAGTATGTACGCTAGTTGTTCAAGGAAACAGTTGGATGGCATGCTCAAAAATAAAGAAAAATCACTTTAGTTGAAACTTGCCATGTGGAATATCTAAAAGTGACAAAATACAAAGGTTCCTGGAATCCAATTGCCTCAAAAGAGGGTGTAAGAAAAAATGCAATTATAAAACTGGTAAGCATAAATACTTATTTTCCCTTAAAAATGTGCAGTGACAGTTAACTAATAGAGCAAGGACAAGAGCTTGATTTTATGTTTAAAGTATAATGCTGTGAATCTTTTGTTTTATTTGGTGCAAGTATTTAATACATTCCCCAGTTACCTGTGGCATCTTTTGTTATGCATTAGGTTTAAAATTTATATAATCATAATCATGAGACCTTCCCAAACACTCATTGAAGACCTTTGTTCTATTAGTGTGTATTTCAAAACAGCATTTTAATGCTTGCTTCTTGTAGCCAGATGGAATTTAATTTTGTATAAATTATGATTTACATGTAACCTAAATATTCATTTTTTTTGACCTTGCCAATCTGCAATGTTTGCCTCACTTAACAAATAATGAACATGCCTCATTTCAGGACGCTACATTCTTTTCTAATTTATTTGTTAGTATCTATTTTTGAACAGGCTTTTAAGGCAAATGATAATTTCTTTGGGAGTATGTTATGTTAATAATCTGAAACAAGAGATCTCATTTTTAATATTGAAAGAACATGTATTTGTGCATTTATCGGCATCTTTTAGGGGGGCGAGAAAGGCAGCTTTTCTTTAGATGTCAAAGATTCACATAAGTGAGGCTGCTGTGATAGCATCTTCTGGGATCTCAGCGCTCAAGAAGCTGAGTCAGAAGACTGGCTCGGTCTGAAGCCAGTTGCTGTCTTTCCACAGGTCACATAGATTTTGTATGTAAGCATTTCACATTATCAGTAGGAATGAGGGCTCTTTTTCCTGTTTCCTGATGATACTGCAAACATCAAAATATTGTGAGTTTTGTGTGTTTATCTTGAATTCATCACTGAACCAACTTTGGGAATGCAATTATCTAGTTATAACTACTAAATAACTTCAGCTCTTTTTATTTAGTTGGGTGGCTTCTGGGTGACAATCTAAATTCTGTCTTTTTAAATCATAATATGGAATATGCATGTTAAATTTGGCCCTGACTTCAAGAACGACTAACAAAGCTATCATCACGGGTAACCAGTCAGTGATTCCTTGTCTTTGTCTATTAAGAATTTAAAAATGGGGGCTGGAGAGGTGGCTCAGAGGTTAACAGCACTGCCTGCTCTTCCAGAGGTCCTGAGTTCAATTCCCAGCAACCACATGGTGGCTCACAACCATCTGTACTGAGATCTGGTGCCCTCCTCTGACGTGTGGGCATACATGGAGGCAGAATGTTGTATACATAATAAATAAATAAATCTTAAAAAAAAAAAGAATTTAAAAATGTGGCCGGGCGGTGGTGCCACACGCCTTTAATCTCAGCACTCTGGAGGCAGAGGCAGGCGGATCTCTGTGAGTTCGAGGCCAGCCTGGTCTAAAGAGCTAGTTCCAGGACAGGCTCCAAAGCTACAGAGAAACCCTGTCTCGAAAAACAAAAAAATTTAAAAATGAGTTGGGCAGTGGTGGCACATGCCTTTAATCCTAGCACTTGGCAGACAGAGTGGATATCTTTGAGTCTGAAGTCGGCCTGGTCTACAGGGCTAGTTCCAGGACAGGCTCCAAAGCTAAGAAACCCTGTCTCGAAAAACAAACAAAACAAAACAAAATAAATTAAAAATGATAGTTGCAATAATCCATATAGACTAGCATAACCTCAAAATAATGATCGCCATTAGGACAATGCGAAGGTTAATTTTAAAAGAGAGCAGAAGAGAACTATTTCTTGACTGTATATTCCCTGAGCAAGAAGTTTAGGAAAGAAGAAAAAAAACCTGATATATTATTTTTCAAAAATGTGCCTTTCTATTAACTATACTGATAATCTAAACTCAACCCATTGTATCTGATTCTACCCATCTGTCTTCTCTATGAAATGTCTTACGTGCACAAGTACCAGATGAGCCCATGAAGGCAAGTTCCTCCTGAAAGTTTTTGGCTGTATTGTTTTCGACTTTATTCTTCTGCAACAGAGCTGATTAGCACAGAAATACAACACCCTGAAGGCATTTTTCTCCTTATTACTTTAATGTCAAAGACCAGAATGCAGAGAGATGTGAATGTTCTCATCTCTGGAAGAGGAGATGTCAGTCCCTAGTCTAGCCGCTGATTAAAAAAAAAAAAAAAATCAACAAAAATGAAATTAGTTTCTTATTGAGAAGAGACCCTATTCCTTCATGGTCAGAAGGAAGAATCAAGTGCATGGACTTTAGTGGGGTGTACATGAATTGGCAGCAGGCAACACTTTTGCTGTCCCAGCCAAACACTCTGCTGTGAGATGTATGTCCAGTGCCCACAGCAGGGGTCTCCAAAAAGCCATGTAATGAGTCACCACAGCTATCCACTGTGGATGACTGGGGGGTCCAAGTCCTGGAACTAAGAACTGACCGTCATTTTTGCTTACCTTTAAGGCCTAACAAGAATGGACACCTGGGTAGCCCTTGTCAAATTACAACTCCCCCCCACTAAATGCCGAGGCAGAGGTCTAGCAAGCAGATCTACCTCCAAAGCCAAGGACTGACTCCTGCTTCATTAGAAAATGATGTTTAGTTTGTATGACTACTTCTCTTAAAATAATAGTAATAAATAAATGGGGTGATTTCACTACATGAATTTAACTAAAACATGCAAATGTAAAATATCAGAACTTGAATTTTTTTTTACTTGGACAGTAGATGATCAAAACAAAATTTATAAAACAAAATAAATAAAATCTATGAAAGGAGTGCTCAAAATATACTGTGAAACAGGACTGTTCTGGACAGAACTTTCCAAAATAGCCTTCCTGGATGAGTACAGAAACGCTCAGTGCACAGAGCTAAGGGAGACTCACAGATCTTCACATTAACTACTAAACAGTCTCCATATCAGTGGAGTTGCTGACGGCTGCCTGTAATAATACACAGTTACGTCTATAAAGTGAACCTCTCTATGTACTTCTTTCGCAGCAAAATAAAAACAAATGCATACCTTTTCCCAGTGAACAATTTCCCAAGCACCATTTCTCAAAACTGCAAAGAGAAGACATGACAGGTTAAAGAACACTCCTTTAGTAGCAGGTGCAAGCCTCTGTCTAATGGAATGGTTACTCGAAATGAATGGCTTTGAGCGAAATGACTAGCAGCAATATATGACACCTTTAAGAACCAGCTGTGGCAGCAGGATCACATATGGAAATAAAAACTTCCAGTGTCTATGTCAGCCCCCACAGTGACTCGCCTCTCACTCAAGGCAGCTTTGTTGGAGAGGCTATATGCCTCCTTCAAGACACAGGGAGATGTCAGGGGTAAGTTGGGGTAGGGGTGGGAAGGGAAAAACCCACAAAAATTTTAAGCGACTGGCCTATATCCATTTCCTAATGACAACCATTATCCTCAGGTTGTGCTGGTCTACATGGATTACAGTAACTATCAACTTCTAAACTTGAATACACAAAGACAACAGGGGCATCATAGATTTAATATAGACTTATTTAACTAATAAAAAATTTCCTACAGGGCTAGAGAGATGGCTCACGGCTGAGAGTGTTTGCAGAGGACCCGAGTGTGGATCGCAGCATCCATGTCACGTTGCTCACAACTGATTGTAATTCCAGCCCCAGGAGATCCAAGGCCCTCTTCTTGTTTCCCTAAGCACCCCACACACAATTATAACACACGCACACACACACACACACAATTAAAATGATAAAATAAATCTTTAAAAATGTCTTGTTTTATTAATAATATTTCTCCTCATCTCAAAAGGACTTGTGTATGGATGCACATGTATATGTAGTGTGCCAGCGTGTGTACTCGTGTGTATGGGGGTGCATATGCACTTGTATGTATATGGAGGCAACATGCTGATGTCGGGTATTTCCCCCAATTGTTTCCCAGCTTATCTTTTTGAGACGAGGTCTATCCCCCAACCAGATACTTTCTGGTTGGGGGATAGACCGCCTGACCAGTGAACTCCGGGGATCTGCCGGTCTCTGTCTGCCCCACATTAAGGTTATTGTCAGTCATGACTATAACTGATATTTTGTTGTTCCGATAAACAGACATGGGGATCTGAGTTCAGGTCATCATGCTTGTATGACAGAAATCTTACTGACAGAGCTCATCTCTATGACGCAGCTACTGCTGATTTCCCATCTTCACTTCTTGCCATTTCCTTCACACCCTTCCTGTGCTTTCTGCGGTCAAAGCACCCTGCTCTTTCTGGGCTCCTTTGTGCATGGTTCTGTGATCAGGACACTCCTCCATCCCGGCTTTCGTGCAATGTCCTCAGGTAACTTTTGCGGATACTCGGTCCTTTATCACTATCCCAAGACTAAATAACCTTTGTTTCCTCCAGAATACAGATTCCAGTCTACTTATATGTGTAGCTGGGGAGGGGATGTTTCCTCCCCAAACTGTAAGATCCATAAGAGGGGCAACCACTCCTATTCAGCTCATTCTAGTATATCTAGGGTTACAACACTGCCTCATGAAAGTGCCTGGTGAGTACCTGCTGGATGGAATGCCGGGTTCACTGATGTCCCCTAGTGACCATAAGAAGTCAGAAGAGTAGTTACACAGATGTATTGATGATACAACCCTACTCCCTAGCAAATGACATAATAAAATATACAGTTGTAGAGGAAACTAGTTGTTTCTCAGAAAGTCAAACACATAATTGCCACAAGACCCTGAAATCCTTCCCATTCCTGGGTGTGTATCCCCAAGAGAAGAGAAAAGCTGTTTCACGTGCATGAGTTCTCTGCAGCATGACTTATATGAACCCCCAAGTGGAAATCACCTAGATGAGCATCAACTGCTGTCCAGATGAACACATGTGGACTGGCTTGGTGTGGGAGGTCCTTCTGAATGTGTGTTGCTTTTATTGGTTAATAAATAAAGAATCTGTCTTGGGCCTGGCAGGGCAGAATAGAGGCAGGTGGGGAAAACTAAACTGAATGCTGGGAGAAAGAAGGCAGAGTCAGAAGGCGCTATGTAGCCTCCGCCAGGAACTGACGAAGGGAAACTTGCCAAGTAAGTCACAGCCACATGGCAATACACAGATTAATAGAAATGGGTTAAATTAAGATATAAGAGTAAGCCAGCGATATGCTTAAGCTATTGGTCAAACAGTATTCCAAATAATATAGTTTCTGTGTGATTATTTCGGGAATCTTGGTGGCCAGGAAACAAACAAGTGGCCTGCCATTTAATAGTACGCTCCGTGTCACAAAAAGGAGTAAAGAGCTAAAAGGATGACATGGATGAATCCTGAAGATACACCAAGTGAAAGATGGCAGATAAAACCAGGCCACAGATTGTATGATCACACTTATATAAAGTACTTAGACTAGACAAATCCATGGAGACAGAATGCAGATTAGTGGTCGCCAGGCTCAAAGAATGGGACAGCAGGGGCTGGTCACTCACATGTGTGGGTTTCTTTATGGGTTCTGAAAAACGGGCTGGAACTGGGTGGTGTGATGGGAACACAGTCTCCCCGAATCAGCTGAGGCCCCAGGGTTGCCCACTTTAAGATGGGGAATATTTTGGCAGGCAAGTGATAACTGAACAAAAATAGCCACACAAATATGCAATGAGCTATTGAGACATTTGCTTAAAATAGATGTCTCGGTTTTGTAAGTCGCTAAAAAGATTCCCGTGGCAAGCATTCGAAAGCGTTATGTAAAAAAGATGAAGTAACATACTCGTCAGCTCGGGGGCCACCCCTCCAGTTCTGACATCTAAGCCAGGGTGTTAGAACTGATGCCGTGTTAGCAGGGGTTTGCTACGTCACATGTAAAAACAGCTCTGGCCCACTCTTCTGGTTGCAGTCCACACAGCAAGAGTCCCAGCAGGCTTCTAGAGTGGTCTTCCACGTCCATGTCCTGTCTCCCGCCCTGAGCCCGCTCACTTCCTTCCCACCTTGCTTTAATCACTGCTTTCTCCAGTTGATCTCTCTGGGATCCCTGCCTCCACCCAGTGGTACCAGTGGTACATTCTCTCCACATAAGTGCTTCCTGTGGGTTTAATGTTGAAGAGGTAGCTGGACTACTGAAAAAATTTGCACACCTAAGAACACTTTAAATACAGTGCTAGCCAATGGCATGTTATCCTCTGTCTCTCTGGTTTTATTATTATTATGATGATGATGATATTAACTTTTATGTGCATGTACACCTATGCTGTGGCACTTGTGTGGAATTTGGAGGACAACTTACGATAGCTGGCTCTCTTATTCTACCATGCAGAGCCTGGGTACTGAACTCAGATACTCAGGATTAGTGCAAATACTTTAACCACTGAACCATCCCCCCTTTTTTTATTTTGGAGGCAGAGTCTCACTATACAATCTGAACCTGCTATTTATTCCAGAGTCTGCAGCGGTCTGGATTGATCAATACGTATATTACCATTAAGTCCTCACTAAACGGTATGTTCAGAAGTTACAGCAGGACCCTACTCTTTGACACTTGTTTTGTGGGTCTGCAGAACTAGTAGACCAGGCTGCAGGAATGTTCCACCACCCTTTCCCCTGTGTCTTCTGCCTCTGAAATACAAGGGGTGGGAATAAAGGAAACACAGCCTGATACTATATAGATTTCCGGCTCTGAGAACAGTACAGAATATGGTGAAGTTAAAAAAAAAAATCAGCCACAACATGAAAGTATTTGAGCAAATCAAGGCTTGACCACCAGCCAAGGACACCTGCCTGTCATAGTTCACTGCTGTCTCTCTTTGGGAACTGGTTCCTACCATCTAACCCTTAGAACAATTAAAGTAAGTCCCATCCCATGCAGTGTGCTGGCAAGGGAACCAGGAACCTAGGTCTCTTTCGTCTGTAGCCTCCTCTACCTCCATTCCAGCTTCTTCTAAGAAAGCTGTGGGGTCCTTGGCTGAGACTGCTTAGTTTGGTTGGCCCAAAGCTAACAGCCCTCCTATTCTGCCCACCTTAGAGATGATTAATGCTGCTGGCAAAGGAGCAGGAGCCTCTTGAGGGAGGGAGGAATCTTGAATGGCCGCGAGGTGCTTTGACAGCTCATTCTGAGATGTGCGACTCCTCCACCTCTCCTTGGTGCCATCCAAACACACCTGATACAGTTTTCACACAATCTAATGAGTGTGATAGCGTGCACTGGAGGGCTCCGACATCAAACAAACACCCCAGAGGAACCTGCCCTTACCCAGCAGTATACCGTCACCGGTACCCAGCAGTATACCGGCACCTGTACCCGGCAGTATACCGGCAGGCCACTTTGTTGCAGTGGTTTTGTCTGTGAATGGCACACGTTCTGTTAGAGCTCCTGGGTCGCTCCTCCCCAAAGGCCTGGATAAGGCTATGGGAGACAGACAAAAGGCATTGCAAACTAATTCACTGCATGCTCACGGCTTCCAGGAAAGAGGATGTCACCCCAGCTCCCCAGTTAAAGAGATTTGTCACTGGGGATGTCTCTGAAAGTCACTGGCTACCTGTCCCTGGGCAGTCGGTCACTTCCTAAGGTGGGGAGAAAAAGGCAGATCTTTCTAAATGGTATCACATAGAATGGAGTAGAAAACACACACACACACACACACACACACACACGGGGGTGGGGAGAGATAAGTGTGTTTGATTTCCTTTCCAGAAGCGAGCCTTTGAGAGAGATCTTAGGTTATGGTAAAGGTCAAGTGTGCAGCCAAGACTCTGGGCTTCTGTAAAGAATCCAATCCACTCCTATTGAAGCACCATGCACTCACCGAACACTCTACTGCAAAGATAGTTTAAAGGCAGAAGCATCAGTGTGGCCCAGAATGACATTACACATAAATAGTTTGTGTAAACTTGCCTATAAAGGCCAAATTCAATCACTGCGTGTGTGGTCAAACCACTTTCTTCTACTGACAGGAAGGACAGAGGGAACCTCCTCAGCTGATGCCTTTGGAATAAGTTGTTCATGCTGGCATCAAGGGGGCTGGGAGCATTTCTATAACCTCAATTATAACATTTTAAAGTGACCCCCGAAGTGTGTCCTCTTGCCAGTATCCCCAGC